CCCCTGTGGAGATTTTGCCAAGAAAGCCCCAACAACAAGTAATAACAATAATAATCAATATCATCATGGCGTGCGGCGGCGGTGGGGTAGGCAACCTAAGGCCCTGGGGCCGGTCCAAAGGCCCCCGGGCCTTAGGTTGCCTACCCCTGTTGTATGCCTTTGTGTCGTTTCCGACTTACAGTAATCCTAAGGCTAACCTATCATGGGGGTTTCTTGACAATATTTGTTCAAGAAGGTTTGCCATTTCCTTCCCCTGAGGCTGAGAGTGTGTGACTGGCCCAAGGTTACCCAATGGAGTTTCATGGCGGAGCTGGGAATCAAACCCTGGTCTTCAAAGCTGGAGTCAAACACTCAAACCACTAGGCCACACTGGTTCTTAAAGGACAGAATTTAACCTAATAAAAGTTAATACAGGCAGCTCTGTCTGTGTGTCGCAGTGGAGAGCTGGCTACAGTACAGGTCAGTCTGGGAAGACTGTCAGATCCATTTGCAACACAAAAAGATATTTCCTTTGCAATCCAGTATATCTCCATCCTTTGAGAGTCACAGGCCCCTTTGTGTTGCAAATGGATGTTGAGAATCTCCCAGTTGCCACATGGCCAGAAGGAAGAGGTACCAGCCTGCAAGAGATACCCCTCCATACCATCTGAACTAAGAACAAAAAGAGCAAAATGCAAGCCTATGATTGACATCATCCATCTTTTTCTCTCCTGTATGGTTTTTAACACCTTGCCTGATGAAGAAGGAATTATTATTTGGTAGATCTTTGATGTTATTGGATTTGCTATATGACCAACATGTTTACATGAATTGTGGGCCAGCTAAAGCTTCCCTAGTAGCTTTATTTTGTATTTCTAATACCTGTTTTCTGGACCAACTATCATTTCAAAGACAGCTGCATACATTTCAAATTGGCACAGTCTAATAAGGATGTGATGGGGGCATTGGATTGTAGTGGACAAAGATCTGGAATTCAGACAGGCAGCTTTGCCTGACAAAAGACACATTGTATTATGAATGCTAATTGGACATCAAAAGACAGAACTACGTCTAAGCAAGATATAGATGTTATCATTAGAGTTGGGGAATGAATCATAGAGTCATAGAATCATAGAATCATAGAGTTGGAAGAGACCACAAGGGCCATCCAGTCCAACTCCCTGCCATGTAGGTAATCCCAACCAAAGCATTCCCGACAGATGGCCATCCGGCCTCTGTTTAAAGACAGGGGTAGGCAACCTTTCTCCTTTAAGTGCCGAGGGACTTCAGCTCCCAGAAGCCTCAGCCATGTTGGCCAATAGCTCCTGGGATTCTGGAAGCTGAAGTCCCTTGGCCCTTAAAGGGGAAAGGTTGCCTACCCCTGGTTTAAAGACCTCCAAAGAAGGAGACTCCACCACTCTCCGAGGGAGCGTGTTCCATTTTTGAACAGTTCTTATTGTGAAGAAGTTCCTTCTAATGCTGAGGTGGGATCTCTTTTCCTGTAGTTTGCATCCATTGCTCTGGGTTCTAGTCTCTAGAGCAGCAGAAAACAAGCTTGCTCCATCCTCAATCAATGTGATACCCCTTCAAATACTTAAACAGGGCTATCATATCACCTCTTAAC